AAAAAAAAAAAATTTTAAAAAATCCTGGGACCAGCAGATGGCAAAATGGTTACATCGCTGGACTCTCATGTGGTCAACTGAGTGGCATCAAACTCACACAGGGCAAGTGTATGTGTGCGTGCCCAAAATCCCAAGATGAGAATGGAGGAGAAGGGATTGCAAGTGGACATTCCCCCCTGGGGGGTGATTTCTCCCTCTCTGTCTCTCTCTGTCTCTCTGGCAAGTGCACACTCTCTATAGCAAAATAATCTCTTTCTAAAAATAAAAATCTTAGGCAGGGGCCCGCAGGTGTCATGGTTAAGGCACTGGACTCCCACATGGCTGAATGTGGTTTGAGTCCTAGACCTAGCAGCTTACTTTCTCACTTTCTCTCTCTCTCTGTTTCTCTCTCTCTCTGATTGAATTAAAAAATAAAAATGAACAAAACTAAATCAATAATTCTTTAAAAAAATAAAAACTTAGGCTAAGACAATCCTCCCAAAGTCTACTGTCTGCAGGAAAGTTTCATCTAAAACACTTATGTACCTGAACATTTAACCTTATTTAAAGACCTTCATAGAAGAATTCAATGCAACTGTTCTAAATTTGATAGCACATTTTCTTTACAAATAGCACATCCTCCCACCAAAACACAGAGACTACAGTGATCAATTTCTCTTGCTTTTAAAATCAGGATTGTCCTAGTTTTAAACAAAAAAGTCTCTTGTGTCTCAGGAATTCCTCAGGTCTGGCCAAACCGGAATGGTTGTTTACTTTAATACATAAAACCTGGAGTTTGGTATTATTGTTCACTTCAAAGAATACTGTTCACTTGAACTGACAGAATATTATAGGAAAAAAGTCAGAAAGACCTGGCTTAGAATTCCTGCCCCTGGCAGTCACATACAGAAAACGAGGGGAAATTATTTTTATGTGAGCAACACTTAATTCAAACATATATTACACAGATTTTCTACTGCAGCCTGTCGCAAGAGCTCCTTAAGAACACATGTGAAAGCCAGCAGGTGGCATCGCAGTTAAGATGCTCAACTTCCACACTGCCAACCATGGTTCAAGTCCAGGACCCGGCGGCTTGCTTTCTCACTCTCCCAAACCCCCTCTGCTCTGGAGAGCACACATGCTCCACAGCAAACTTAAGAAATAATAATAATAGGGCCAGCAGGCAGCATGGTGGTTGTACTCCCACATGGCCAACTTCAGTTCAAGTCCCAGACCTGGCAGTTTGCTTTATCTCTCCTCCAGGCCCCCCCCCCACCTCTCTCTCTCTCTCTCTCTTTCTCTCTCTCTCTCTCTGTGTGTGTGTGTGTGTTTCTCTCTGGTGAATTAAAATAAAAACAATAAATAAGATTTTATGGATCTTTACATCACTGGATTCCCACATGGCCAACCACAGTTTGAGTCCTGGACCCAGAAGCTTGAAACTCATGTCAGGTGCATGTGCATACATGCCCGAAATGCCAAGAGAGAATGGAGAAGGGATTGCAGAGTGGCCATCTCCCCTGGGCTGTGATTTCTGTTTTCTGTCTCTCTCTCTCTGTCCCTCCAGCAAGCACAAGCACCCTATAGCAAAAATCTCTCTTAAAAAAAAAAAAACTTTTAAAAAAGAAAAATGAAAATCACAATAAATGGTTGTTTAAAATAGTAACAATAAATTTAATTAAATAAATAATTTTTTTTTAAAAAGAACGCATGTGGGGAACCAGCAGTTAGCGTAATGGCTATGTCGCTGGACTCTCACGTAGTCAACGGCGGGTCACATTCCCGACCCGATGGCGTAAAAATCACACCGGGTGTGTGTGCGTGCCCAAGATCCCGAGAGGAGAATGGAGGAGAAGGGATTGCGGCGTGGCCATCCCCCCTGGTGGGTGATTTCTCGCTTTCTGTCTCTCTGTCTGTCTCTGTCTGGTGAGTGCACACGCTCTATGGCAAAAACCTCTCCAAAAAAAAAAAAAAGAACACATGTGAAAGAAGTTGGCATACTATACATTTCCAACAAATCATAGGGAGGGTCTTTCCTCATTTATTTAAAATAAGTGAATAATCTCAGGAGGCTGTTATTACCCTTAATCATTTTCTTTACATATGTTGAGTAGAACCTCATGCACATTCAAAACTTAAGGCTGTGCTATATGTTGTATTTAATTATTTCAAGCAATGCATAAACTCTAATGCTCAAAAACAGTAAATGGCTTTTTTCTTTTTTTACCTGAAGACTGTTGAAATCCACAGTCATAATTTCAAAGCACTCTGTCAAAGCTTTATACCCTCCAGGAACTCGACTCATCTTTTCAGTAGTGTAAGGTTCGACTGTTTCTTCAGTATCTACAGACGGATAAGCTGGACTCTGAAATTTCACATTTGTTGGCAAATGGATACCAGCAATGTTTTTCACACCCACTCTGGGGAGGAGGAAAGGAAGATGTGTTTTTTTAGAATCAAGTAACATCATCTAACTTAAGTCCAGAAAAAATATAGAAATGAAATAAAACCACATGTCCAAAGGGTTAAATTCTTACACAGAATTATTCAACCACTCACTGTAAAAGAAGACAAGTAATAGTCTTACATTAAAATTAGCTTCTGCATGGGGCCGGAAGTGGTGTGGTGTTTAAGACACTGGACTCCCACGTGGCCAACCGCAGCACAAGTCCTGGACCTGGCAGCTTGCTTTCTCACTTTGTCTCTTTCTCCTTCTCTCTCTCTCTCTGTATCTCTCCAGTCGAATTAAAAATAAGTAAATAAATAAATAAAATTAAATAATTATTTTTTAAAAATTAACTTCTGTTCATAAAAAAGACACCCTGTAAGAAAGTACAAAGGTGGGACCAGCAGGTAGCATGGTGGTTAAGGTGCTGGACACTCCCACATAGCTGACCACAGTTCGAGTCCTGGACCTGGTGGCTTGCTTTCTCACTTTTCCTCTTTCTCTCTTTCTCTCTCTGTGTCTCTCTCTGGTCAAATTAAAATAAATGAATAAATAAATAAAATTAAATAAATAATTCTTTAAAAATCTTTTAAAAAACAAAGTACAATGGCAAGCCACTAAGTGAGAGAAATAATATATATGTAAAATAAAGGATAGTGTCAAAAAAAAAAAAGTGTGTATGTATATACTTGTTTATTTATTTATTTTTTGGAGAAGTTTTTGCTATAGGGTGCGTGCGCTCGCCAGAAAGAGAGAAAGACAGAGACAGAAAGCAAGAAATCACCTCCCAGGGGGATGGCCACACCGCAATCCCTTCTCCTCCATTCTCTCAGGATCTTGGGCACACACACACACACACGCCCGGCTTGAGTTTAAGTCACCAGGTCCCAGACTCAAACCACGGTCTACTACGTGGGAATCCAGCAACATAGCCATTACGCTAACTGAAGGTCCCTATATTTTTTAATTCCTACAAATTAATAAAAGTCAAACAAAAGTGGGCAAAATACTTAGACACTAACCAAAAATAATAAATCCTAATTTTGTTTTTTCTTTTTTTTTTTTTTTTTTTTTAATTCTGACAGAGGGTACATATGATGGCAGGAGAGAGAGGGAAAGTAAGAAAGTACCGCCCATGGGAAATGGTCACACTGCCATTCCTTCGTTTCTCCCTCTTTTCAAGACTTTGGGCACATACACATACAAACCCACATGTTTTTCAAGCCACCAGGTACAGGACTTAAATTGCATGATTAGCTCCGTGACCAGCTGTGGAGAGCAGCCAATCTGAAAACGTGATTAAAACATGTGGCCTGTAGATGCATGCAGATATGTGCTTCCTTAAGCTACTCCAGCAGGGCTGCTGAGAAGCATCTACATAGGAAAGCAGTACCTGCCTGTTGTCAATGGTTGTCTTCCTGTTGTTGTGGATACCCAATACCTCCATACTGCCCAGTGAGCTAAAGAAAGTCACAAACCTTTATCAGATTGTCCCCCAAAAATATCAGAGAAATTATATGGTGCCAGTCATTTTCACATCCTCAGATGATTTACATCCAAAAGCAACTGGCTTTGCATCCCAATTTCTCCTCTCTTATTCTCTTTGCATTCCACTTCCTTCTTCCCCATTCCTTTTGCATTCCATTTTCCCCTCCCCCCCATTTTCTGCCCTATAAAAGAATAAACCTGAGGCTGGTTCTGGTTGCAAATTCTCCATCAGAGAAGTTGTGCCCACCTGATCCTCACTTTTCTATACCGGTGTGTCTTTGTGTGTGTTGTTATCGCATCTATTTCTAATCCACAGCCTTCCCCACTCAGAGAAATGTGTTCATGCCGAGCTGGTCCCAGCAACCAGCCACCAGATGGTTCCCAAATTTCTAATAGGAATATGAAAAGCTGTGCAGCTTCAGTAGTCACAGGGGAAGGAAGTTAAAAATCATAATCCATATGTGCAGTGTTCAAAAAGTTCAAGTAAAATGTGCATTATGAAAGATACTATGCATGGACTTCTTTCTTTCTTTGCTTTTTTTTTTTTGCACCAAAATAATTTTATACTAACTTGTTAGAACATAAATCAACAGGATCTTCTATCTTTCTCTGTGTCTTTGTGAGCATACATGCCCTATAGCAAAAATCTCTATAAAAAATAATAATAAATAAAATTAAATAATTCTTTAAGAAAATAAAAACAAAAACTAAGGGACCAGATGGTGGTGTGGTCATTAAGGTGCTAGATTCCCACATGGCCAACTATGGATCAAGTCCTAGACACAGTGGCTTGAAAATCAGGCAGATTGTGTGTGTGTGTGTGTGTGTGTGTGTACCCAAAATCCTGAGAAAAGAATGTAGAAGAAGGGATTGTGGTGTGGCCATACCTCCTGGGGGATGCTTTCTCACTGTCCCTCTCTCTAGCAAGTACACATACCTATGGGAAAAACCTAAACAAATAGATAAATAAATAATACAAAAACTAAAATTTACTTTCACATTAGAATTTTTTATTCCAACTTTGTATAAAATCAGTCTGAACTTAATATTTCTCTACATGACTCCTGTCACATAACTAAAGGCTACTAAGTTATATCGAAATTCATTTTCCTCTAAAAAATAATGAAAGCTACCTTTCATCCTAAAGTTGCATTACAAAACAAAATAGAAAGAGCTAGCCTGTGGCCTGGTGGTTAGGACTGGGATCCCACAGGGCTGGTTCACGTCCCAGACCCAGGAGATTGAATACCGTATCAGGCACATGTACATGTATGCCGAAAACCCTGGAAGAACTTCGCTATAGGGCATGTACGCTCGCAAGAGAGAAAGAGAGAGACACATAGAGCCAGAAAGTGAGAAATCACTCCCCAGGTGAATGGTCACACTACAATCCCTTTCTCTCCATTCTCCTTTTGGGATATTGGGTGTGCACGCATGCGTGAGTTTTAAGCCACCAGGTCTGGGATTCCAACCACGGTTGACTACATGGGAGTCGAGCAATATAAGCATTACACAATCTATTGGTTCCAATTAACTAAATTTTGCAGTATAATACTCTCCTTAAAATTGCTATTTTAAAATGTTTATTATATAAATAATCATTTACCTATGATGTCTTCTTATTTCTGCACATTCCACTGCCATGCCAAATACAACAGCACTCGCTGGTATAACTTTCCCATACTTTCCACAATTATCATTTTTACCTTTGGCCTGAAAAGATGACCAAAAAATATATATCACTACATCTACACAAAAATTTGTATGTAAAATGATAAGCTATGAAAATAAGAAAAATTTTAAAACAAGGTAAGCAGGTTAAGAATTTTTTTTCATTAAAACGCATTATTATCCCTATGTATATACACATATGTACATGTTATTTTCTTTTCCTTTTTCCTTTTTTATTTTTGGAGAGGTTTTTGCTATAGGGTGTGGGCACTCGCAAGAAAGACAGAGAGACAGAAAGCGAGAAATCATTCCCCCAGGGGGATGGCCACGCCACAATCCCTTCTTCTCCATTCTCTTCTTGGGATCTTGGGCACACACGCACACACCCTGGCATGAGTTTAAGCCACCAGTTGTAGAACTCAAATCATGGTTGACTATGTGGAAGTTCAGTGACGTAAGCTGGTCCATATATGTGTATTTTTTCTTTATGATACAAATATGAAGGAAAGAAGGAGAAGGAAAGGAAGGAGAAGAAGAATGAAGAGAAAGAAAGGGGTATAGGGGCTATAAGGGACAAGGACAGGACAAGAGACTTTTGGATATGACTTCAAGAAACATGACTACCGGGACCAGCAGTTAGCGTAATGGCTATATCGCTGGACTCCCATGTAGACCACGGGTCACGTCCCAGACCCTGTGGCTTAAAACTCATGCTGGGTGCATGTGCGTGCGTGCCCAAGATCCCAAGAGGAGAATGGAGGAGAAGGGATTGCAGCGTGGCCATCCCCCCGGGGGGTGATTTCTCACTTTCTGTCTCTCTGTCTCTCTGTTTCTCTGGTGAGTGCAAGCACCGTATAGCAAAAATTTCTCAAAAAAATAATAATAATAATAAAATAAAATAAAATTGCTCTTCTCAACCTTTAGCTATTTTAAAGCCAAATAATTTTCTGTGAATTATCACTCTTTATTACATGCTAACATCCTTTTATTAATAATATATATTTACATAAACCAAATCTGTAATTTGTGGGCTACAGGATTTCAGTGCAAAATGTAAGTTGGCAGTTTTAAGTAGTCCTGTCCAATTCCTAGCCTGAGTTAGAAGGGTAACTTAAAACAATACCAAGTCAGTTATACTGGGCTGTCAGGAAAGTCATAACACATTTTTGCATAGAAAAACACATCATGACTTTTCCAATGACATAATAAATCCCTCTTCTTGATTTGCCAAAATTGAAGCAGTGGGGGCTGTGAGAGTGAAAGTTACCTCCCTCTCTCCACCTGATTCAAGCACTCCATAGTCCCTCTTCAAAGTAACCTCAAGTCCTACGGATACCTAGAGTAACTCTCATATGTATACCTCATTTGTGTATGCAAGTGCATGTTGCCCTATGTTGGCATTAGTGGGAAATACATTGTTTTGCAAATCCAGTTATAGCAGCTTAGTAAATCTTTGTTGAAATAATGAATTCTTGGGACTGGCAGGTGGCATGGTGGTTGGGGCGCTGGATTCCCACATGGTCAGCCATGGTTCAAGTGCTGGACCTGGCGGCTTGCTTTCTCATTCTCTCTTTCTCTCTCTCTCTCTCTCTCTCTTTCTGGTCAAACTGAAGAAAAATAATAAATAAATTAAATTAAATAAATAATTAGTTTTTAAAACAAGAAATAATAAATTTTTTTTTGTTTTCTTTTTTAAATTTATTTTACATTCATTCACTATACATGATCACAAAGTATAAAATGTGATTTCCCAGCCATAATACATTGTATATTGGTTTAATCAAGGATATTACCATACATGTTATCATCAACAAACAATTTCCCATCTGTTTCTTATATATTTTTGCTTTTTTTTTCTATTCCCCGCGATTCCCTACTTCTCACTCTTTGCCATTTCCCACTCTCCTACCACACTGTCTCTGGCATCTACAGTTGCTTTCCATGCCTTTTTCCCCCCCATATTTTATTGATTCACAAAATATTTTAATTAATCTAAATATTTTCAATAGCAAGTTCAACTGATACATACATATCTGTGAGCACGTGTCTGACTTTAGGCATAAAATTCAGTGAGTATAATGAACAAACTATAAAGTAACACCTAGCTAAGACTACATAGCTTACTGCAGTCATTAAATAAGATTTTTTTATGTGAAATAATAAATTCTTAATCAAATGTGCTTTCATGTTGCTTACCTTTGGCTGCAAAAGTAAATGCTCCCAAGCATGAATCAAACTCTCCACAATTCCTTCTCCAAATAAACCTGCATCGACAGTTTCTGTTACAACTAGGGACACTCTATAGAATGATTTTTTAAAGATATGTGTAAGTAAAATATCATGCTATAATATAAAGATGTCAAAGCTGAGAGAAGAGAAAAAAGAAGAGTATATTATAAAAACAGTCCATATGTAAAATTTTCTAATACATTTTATTTTAAGATTCCTGAATCTTGAGGATCTTGACTCTAATGCTCCTCAAGCTTCTCTGTTCTCCACTATCGCTTCACCTTTGGTTCCAGGAGGAGGGGTTACGACCTACAATTGGCCCTATTACCTTCTAAGGCTATTCTTTTCCTGCCTAAATCCTAAATTCTGGGCAGGAAGGTGGTGCGGTAGTTAAAATGCTGGTCTCCCACATCACAGATGGCAGTTTGAGTCCTGGACCTGGCAGCTTGCTTTCTCCCTCCCCTCTCTGTCTCTCTCTGGTCAAATTTTAAATAATAATAATGAATAAAATTAAATTTTAAAATTCTTTTAAGAAAGAGTAGTTCATACCCATTACCTTACCTAAAGTCCCCTCTCTTTTATTTGAGAGATTTTTGCTATAGGGCACGTGCGATCACCAGAGAAGATAGAGAGAAACAGAGAGATAGAAAATGAGAAATCACACTCCAGGGGTGATGGCCACGCCGTATTCCCTTCTCCATTCTCCTCTCAGAATTTTGGGCACGTACACACACACACCTGACTTAAGTTTTAAGCCAATGGGACCGGGACTTGAACTGCAGTCGACTAATGGGAGTCCAACGACATAACCGCTACACCATCTGCTATGGTCCCCCAGTTCTCTCTTTAATGTGGCAACTTGACTTCTATATCCAATATTCCATAAAAATATTCTCTATCATCAATCACTCCCTACTTATAGAAATTAATAATCCTTCTCAGTTCTTATTTTTCTTGACCTACAAATAGCACTTAATGCAAGTAAAAGCCCATTCTTTCAAAAATCCAATCTCCACCTTCTAAGAAACCACATTACCCATGTTTGCCTCTTACATGCTGATTATGTCTCTCTGGTCACTTGTCTTGCATTATCTACTACCAACCTGTGAGTCTTCACAAAGCCTGGTCCACAGGGTTGTCTGTCCATTCTTTCTAGAAAACTTTACTCAAAGACACACCAAAGTTATTTTTCTTTTCTCTGAACTCCACCAGCATTTATTGCCAATATCACTCATCTGTATACTTAAAAGATAAAGAAAAGCTTGAAGAATATTCTTTATTTTCTTATCTAGATTGCAGGAGCCTTACAGGCAAGAATGACTTTGGTAGCCAGCAAAGGTACCTAAATCCAATAAAACATAATATTATATATACATATATATTATATATATAATATATATAATATATATGTATATATTATATGTGTGTATGTGTGTATATATATTATATATAATATAATATGTGTGTGTATATTATATATTATATATATTATATATGTATATAATATTATATTATATGTGTGTGATTCGAAGTACCTTCCATATTCTGAACGTATGGAGTAAAAAAGTGCGTGTATACACTCCATACATTCAGAATATGGAAGGTACCTCAAATCATCTAGTCTAACATATTGAGTTCAAAATTTGCTTAAAGTCAATTAAAAATAGTCTGAATTTGAATCACCTAATTCAAGACCAGTAGCTCTTTCTTCAACATTTTCTGTGAGAATAATACAGATTAAATGAATGTAACTGATCAATTCAGTGGACTAAACTGTGTCCCCCTAAAATCCGTACATTAAAGCCCCAATCCTCAATGTGATTGCATTTGGAGACAAAACCTTTAGGGGATCTTCAAAGTCAGGTGCTAATGCAACAGACTGGTGTCGTCATGAAAGAGGAAGAGATACTGCAGGTCCTTTCCCCTCCAGGTGCACATAGAGAAAAGGCATGTGAAGACACAGCAGAAGGCAGTCACCTAGTAGGCAGAGAGGGAGCCCTTGGAAGAGATCGAACCTGCCAGTAACTTGCTCTTTGACTTCCAAGCTCCACAACTGGGACTAAACAAATGTCTGTTGTTGAAGCCACCCAGTGGTATTTAGTAATGGCAGCCAGGGCACACTAAGACAATTCAGGATGGTGGTATTTTTTCTTTAAAATGAGTATGATCTCAACATTAATAACCTCACAGGACTTCCTTTATGAGAACAAATATGACTCCACTGAAAAGTATGAATACAATGCAACCATAAATTATACATAATACATATGTATATACACAAATGTATATATACACACACACGTGTGTGTGTGAAAGAGGACTTTTTAAAATCATAATTCAAATAGCAATACAATATTTTTAAAATCCTTTTTTTTAAAAAAAGTATTTATTTGTTTAATTTCATTAGTTGTTGTTATTATTAGTATTAATTTGGCCAGAGAGAGAGAGAAAGGGAAAGAAAGTAAGCCACCAGGTCTGGGACTCAACCTACAGTCAGCCATGTGGGAATCTAGCACCTTTAACCACCACGCCACTTACCAGCCCCTAAAAGTCCTCTTTCAACATAAACTTAAGTAAATGAGAAGACGGACAACCCAGGAGAATAAAGCAAGTACTATATAAAGAAAACTAGATGATTTTTAAATCCCTTTAAGTCTAAAATTGCATCACCCCTGTGATATATATCCCAGTGTGGTTACATACAAAAAAGCCAAGATTTAATATGATTATTTTCAAAGCATTTAAACGGCCCAGGTCAGAATACATTAACTGCTGACACAAAGTTTTCATTTTAAACAAGGATATTAACACAAAATGTAGTAATTCCATTCAGTCTGATCTACTCACATTTTATTCTTAAGTACAATTTTTAAATAGTTATTAACCACACGGGATGTATTATTATTCATCTTTATAAACTATTAGATCCTCTGGAAAGTCATGATGTATTTTTCTGTTTCTCTATACAAAAATGCATCATGACTTCCCCGACAACCCAAAAGTAAAAGTAACCTGCTAAAATGTCAAGTTTATTTATTGAATCCCTTGTCCCAAAGTTTTCTTAGGATCTTTAAACATTTTTATAAAGAATAGGACCTTACTATGAGAATCTCTCAAAAAATAAAATAAGTACATAAAAGTGAACTGAAACAATAGTATTAGCTTATATTATACCTTTCGGGAATGTGTTTTGGAATCTCTATGTCAAGTGACTTCATGTGTAAGAGTTTAATCCCGGCTTCCATCTTGTTGGCGGCTACCACATCACAGGCAAGTTCATACATGGTCTTGGATAACTCACAGGCGTACACTGAGCGTGCTCCCGCTTTTTTAGCAAACATGCTATAAGAGAAAAAAGTGCTCCATCAGGGGGAAAATAAATCTACTGCATTTTTTTTGTAAGTGTGACAGGATTACGATACTTAGGCATGCTATTTCCCTTTGACTCTTGAACACAACCATTATTCATTCTGCATAAAAAATAAATGAACGTTCTTGTCTGAAAACAAATTATATAATAAATCACAGTACCCAACCTCTTACGAAAACACAATTGGCATGAAGAATGCCAACAGGCTTTAACCCAGACAATGAGATTTTCATATAAGTTAACACAGAAAAAAACTGAAAATTCATTATTCAGGGGTCAGCAGGTGGTACGGTAGTTCAGGTGCTGGACTCCCACATGGCTGACGATGGTTCGAGTTCCAAAGCTTGCTTTCTCATTGTTCCCCTCTCTTTTTCTCTCTCTCTCGGATAAGAGCACGTGCCCTACAGTGAACTGAGAAATAATGATAATAAATAATTCTTAAAAAAAAAAAAAAAAATCAGTATTGGGACCAGCAGTTAACATAATGGCTATGCCGCTGGACTCCCACATAGTTGACTGAGGTTTGAGTCCCGGACCTGGTGGTTTAAACTCACACCAGGCGTGTGTGCATGCGTGCCCAAGATCCCAAGAGGAGAATGGAGAAGGGATTGTGGCGTGGCCATCCCCCTGGGGGTGATTTCTCGCTTTCTGTCTCTCTGTCTCTTTCTTTCTGGCGAGCACACATGCCCTATAGCAAAAACCTCTCCAAAAAAAGAAAAAAAATTCATTATTCAAAATTTCTGAAGTAATCCCAAAAATTTGATAAAGTGAGAATTATCATGAAAAACACAATAATAGCTGCATAGGTAACCCTAACAAGACTATGAGAAATAAATTCAGGTTTTAAATTCCAATGTCAAATTTTCTATTTAGGTTGAGCATCCCTCATGTGAAAATCTGAATCTGAAGTCTGAAATGCTCAGAAATCTGACTTTTTGAGCACCAATATACCAGGAGTAGAAAATTCCATGCCTGATTTCATAGGGCAGGTTGCAGTCAAAATGGTGCAATACAAAAACACTGCATAAAATTACCATCAGGGGACGAGCAGCTGGCATAATGGTTACGTCGCTGGACTCCCACATAGTCAACCATGGTTTAAGTCCTGAACCCAGTGGTTTAAAATTCATGGTAGGCGGGGTCAGCAGGTGGAGTTGTGGTTAAGGGCACTGGATTCCCACATGGCTGACCACGATCTCTCTCTCTCTCTCTCGCTCGCTCCCTCCCTCCCTCTATGGTCAAATTAAAATATTAAACACAGTTAAATAAAATAATTCTTTAAAAAAAAAAATTCATGCTAGGCACGTGTGTATGCCTGCCCAACATCCCAAGAGGAGATTGAAAGAGAAGAGATTGAGGCATAGCCATCCCCCCACAGAGTGATTTCTTGTTTTCTTTCTCGCTGACTCTCTCTCCAGTGAGTGCACATGCCCTTTAACAAATATCTCTCTTAAAAATAAATAAATAAAAATAAAAAATTTTAAAATTAACATCAAGCTATGCATATGAGGTATATATGAAAATAAATGGATATCACATTTAGACTTGGGACCCATCCCCCAATATATATATGCAAATATTCCAAAATCTGAAAAAAAATCCTAAATCTGAAATGCTTCTGGTACCAAGCATTTTGGATAAGATATTCATCCTATATCTGGCAATACCTTTAATTTACATTAGTATACATGTATGTACAGGACCAGCAGTTGGCGTAGTGGTTATACCTGTATGTATATATTTTTTCTTTTCCTTTATTTTCTTTTAATTTGCTAGAGAGTATGTGCATTTGCCAGAGAAAGACAGAGAACAAGAGAGAAGAAAAGTGAGAAAGCACCCCTGCCTATGGGGATGGTCACACTGCAGTCCCTTCTCTATTTTCCTTTCAGGATCTTGTGCATGAATACACGTACGCTCAGCATGTTTTTTCAAGCCACCAGGTCCAGGACTCAAACCACCACACAGTTGACTGTGTATTATCCCGCCACTTTAACCACCATGCCACCAGAGAGCTCCATGTACATATATATATTTAAAATTAAATTAAATTAAATTAAAACAAAATTACAGGGGCCAGCAGGTGGCATAGTGATTGGGGTGCTGGACTCCCATGTGGCTTACTGTGGTTCGAGCCCTTGACCCAGAGGCTTAAAACTCACGTGGGATGTGTATGCATGCATGCCCAAAATCCTGAGAGGAGAATGAAGGAAAAGGGACTGTGACCTGGCCTCTCCCCCTGGGGGATAATTTCTTGCTTTCAGACTTTCTGTCTCCATCTTTTCTGTCTCTCCAGCAAGCCCACAGGCCCTAAAGCAAAAATCTCTCAAAAAGTAAAACCTAAGTACTGAGCCAGTTGGTGGTGTAGTGGTTAATGCACTGGATTCCCACATGGCCAACCACGGTTCTAGTCCCAGACCTCGGTGCTTGAAATCAAGCTCAGCATGTGTGCATGTGTGCCTGAAAACCCAAGAGGAGAATGGAAGAAAAGGGATTGTGATGTGACCATCCCCTCGGCAGTGATTTCTCACTTTCCCTCTCCGTCTCTGTCCAGCAAGCTTATGTGCCCTACAGCAAAAACCTAAAAAAATAAAAAGAAAACATAATTACAACAAACCTTAATATTCCAGTTCCTGCTCCAATGTCCAAAACACTTTGGGACCCTGAACAAACTGCTTTTTGGATTGCTGCATTATAAATCGTATTCCTCTTGGTATCATTAAGCATAATAAAGTGCCAGCGTTCCACCAACCAATTTGCAACACGATAAAAATTCTCCTTTGCATCATTGAAATCAGGGTTGAGCTTCACTGCTTTATGAAAATAACCAGCTGCTTCATCTCTAAAGCCCATTCTAGAATAAAAAAATGACAAAGACAAAATATTCAACCACATGCTACCAATTATATTCTTTGTTCATGTCACTCACCTGGCTTGGTCATCCCCCACCAGCATCCCAAATCCTATCCCAGGTGGCCAACCCTGTAGCACAGTGAGAATGCACTGCTCAAGAGAAACTGGACTCCATATGGTGACCGCACTTCAAATCCCTGACCAAGTTCGCCTGAAACATGACAGCCACTCCCATACATGCCAAAGAGCTGACAGACTGAAGGACTAAAGGAAGGGGATAAAGGCATGACAGCACCCTGGAGAAGGTTCTTCCCTTCACACCCTCCTGTATCCACACTCACACCCTATCACAAGCAAAGAAAAAATCTTACCCAATCCAAGTGCTACATCCTTAGGAAGTGTTCTGTGAGGACTGCAATCCTTTTCTGAACCTCTACTACCATTCCTCATTCCAGAACACTAACGAATACTCACATATAAATTACTGTTGTACTTTAGTAGCTCTTGCAGGTATACGAGAACACTAGTTCTTTCTGAAAAGTATTCCCTACAAAAAACATACCAATGGCTACAACTAGTGGGCTCCTCTGCAGTGTGCCTACATGCCTCTTCTCACTCAGCAACTGAGCGGAATGGTCACTGAAAGTTAGTCATCCTTTCTGTCAGATCAGTTCATAGTAGTTGTACTTGTTACTAACATATTTTAATTAAAAATTACATGAAGTAAATGAGTTTCATAAGAAACTATAAAAAGAGAAACTTTACATTCATATATCTTCATGAGCAACTCTGGGCATTCTGTCAGTTTTCAAGAAACTATCAAGACTATTCATTTTGGGTAAGCTTTAAGCAACAAAGACATGCAGGAACTCCAAACGTAGGACCACAATCTAACAGAAAGCAATGGCACTATGTCAGATGATAGGTACTCATATTTTAAGCTAAAGTTAAAATGTTCAAGATTGGTGTATATCATTTTTAAGTTATCTTAAAAATAGAGCTGTCTTGTTCTTACTTTACTACTACCATACTACACAGTAAAATACACATCACACATAATCATTGCTGGGAGACTAACTTAGCAGTAGGTATTTAAAAATTTACAAAGAGTCAAACAACTGAATCAATGCCAAATCTGCTCCCGGTAATTTCTGGGTTTGTGCTTAGGTTTGATACTTCATCAGCAATTTTCTTTTTTTTTTTAATAGTGAAGATTACTTTATTGATAGTAGTTAGTATAAGTCAATACATATTGATTCCCAAAAAAGAGGTCAGTTATTTATCAGATTACTGGTCCATAGAGAGCTGAATGAAATTGAATCAAGTGACTACTAGGATGACTAAAGTCAATCCTGCTCTTTGGAAAATGAAAACACAGCCAGCTAACATATGGCATATGCTGACCCACCAACTGTATGAGCCACAGTAGCTCTATACAGGAGGGCATCGGCTACTCAGCTCTCAAGGTGCACTGGAGGGACCAGCAGATGACGTAATGGTTATGTCACTGGACTCCCACGTAGTTAAGCGTGGTTCAAGTCCCAGACCCAGTGGCTTAATACTCACGCCAGGTGTGTGTGTGTGAGCGTCCCCAAAATCCCAAGAGGAGAATGGAAGAGAAGGAATTGAGGCATGGCCGTCTCTCTGTCTCTGTTTCTCTAGTAGGTGCATACTCCCTATAGCAAAAAATCTCTTAAAAAAAAAAATGCACTGGAAGTCTGCTATCCTCCTGACCAAGCTTTTGTTTTTCTGAAACTTTATTTTCAAAATGCCTGCATGAAGCAGCACTTACAGTTCTCTGGGTAACCAGATGAAGAGCCAGCAGATTCTTCAGCATCTTGGTTCAATTTCTGCCCTCCAAACACACTGAACTCCATCATCAGCTTTCTTAAAGTGAAATCCTAATATAAAAAATATATAATCCAGGGGCCAGCAGGTGATATAGTGGTTAAGGTGCTGGACGCTCACATGGTGGACTGTGATTCGAGTTCCAGACCCAGTGGCTTGAAACTCGGGGAGGGGCCAAATAAGTGCTTTTTTTTTTTAAAAAAAAATCTCAAGAGGAGAATGAAGAAAGGGTTGTGGTGTGGTCATCCCTCGAGGAGTGATTTCTCACTTTCTCTCGGTTTCTGTCTGTCTCTCCAGCAAGTACACAGGCCCAATAGTGAAATCTTTCTTAAAAAAAAAAAAACACATACACACACACACACATATATATGTATGTATGCATATATAATCCACCCAAAGTGCACTCAGACTAAAGCCTCAACGTGTATGTCAATAATTATGTCAGTGAACCACAAGAACTTGGATTTAGGAAAGGTTCTCGGTACCCTAACTGGTAACAGTGGCTCATGTGTCTACACTGTTTATATGAACACCTGCTTTTCTTCTAGGAGTCCAGAATTTTGGTTTGTGCCAGGCAGAGGATATGTAAGTATCCAGCTCCCAATAAAAATCCTGAACTTGGGGCCGGCAGGTGGTGTGGTGGTAAAGGGCGCCAGACTTGCCACATGGCCGACCATGGTTTGAGTCCCCAACCTGGCGGCTTGCTTTCTCACTTTTTCTCTCCCTCACTCTCGCTCTCACTCTGTCCCTCTCTGGTCAAATTTAAATAAATGAATTAAAACTGACCCTCCCTGGGCAAATTTAAATAAATGAATTAAATAATTCTTAAAAAAAAATCCAGCTCTGAGCCGCTAATGAGCTTCCCTAGCAGGCAACAAGTACACGCTGAGTCCTGTGAGCTAACTAGCAAATCAGCGAACCTGGGGTGGGCATGGAGACCTCCAACCTAGCAGGTTGTCGACTTACTGCCAAATTCACCTTTTGCCTGTTCTGTGAAAAGTACCTGGTGCTTAGATATTTTTCCACCGGTTGGCAGAAGGGTGGACTCTGTCAGTAAAAAGTGCTGAAAAGCACTCCAAGAGCATGGGTTTTACTTCTGCTTCCAGGGTGCTAAGGGCGGAACATGGTAGCCAGTGGCATCCAACAGTCAGTACCTTTCCCCAGGACCTCCCACCCAACCGGGTGATTGTGTAATGGAACGCTCTGGGCACTTGCCCATGGGGCTTTCTCTGGCACCCCAAAAGACAAAACTCAAGTAAATTCCAAAGAACCCACTGACAAGTTCCCTGGCAAGGCACCACAGTGACTTTCTTCCATCCTACGACTCATGTGTGCTCTGTGTGATCCGGTCTGACTCTCAGTCCAAATGGGGCAACTGTTTCTTTCATGTTCTAGCTCAGCCCTAGGATTTCACTTTAAGAAAGCTGATGATGGAGTTCAGTGTGGTTGGTGGGCAGAGGCTATTATGTGGTATGTTATATAATATTGAAACTGCTGTATTATTACACATTACTTCGGCTACTCCTACGTTTTCTTGAGCTCTGCTTACTTCTGACTAGCAAGTCTTATATTACTAAGTTCCCTGTGATACTTAATAATTCTTTATATTCGATTTTGCCTATTCAAAGTACTATATGATTTATCCCCGACCCAGACTGAAACAGAATAGTTCTTAATAAATAATACCGATATCTCTACAAACCTGAAGAGATGCTCCCCCATACTATTGCAAATCACTTCATCGTCAGGAAACAGTTCCAAGGCCTGCTCATAGCAACCAAATAAGTCTTGAATTCGACTGAGAGCATCAAGCTCTTCAGCCCATCTGAAGAGCGTATACTGAAAAGTTTCCTTTACAAATAAGAAAAAAATACTGAATTAGTCAACAGCATAGACAATAGAAAAATATACAACACTAGTTGAAGAGTCAATGGAATTTAATTATTATCAAATGATCGCCTTAACTTTTATTTAGTTTTAGGATACACTGCTTTGTGAATGCACAGATTCACAAATCAATTTTACCACTGATATGGTAATAATAAGTAGAATTACATAGTCTTTCCAAGCTCCCTCCATTCTTAGCTGTCATATCACTCTCTCCTGCCTTTTTCTTGAGGGATCCTATATTGTTCTTGGTCCTATTCTTTGTTCTTATCCATCCTCAATGCATTAATCATCACAGATGCTCCCTTACAATTCATAAACACAACTTTCCACTAGATATCTCAAGCAGACACTGGCTCCCCAGATATCTCAAATTTAGCTTGATTCAAGTATTTCCTGAAGGTGTGTAAGGAATTAGGGCTAAAACACAGTGATGAACACCATAAATCTTGCTCCTGTTCTCACAAAGGCCATATAAGGAGGTTTTCCTCAACCTCAAACCACCATGTCACTTTATAATGTCACCATAAAATCATATGCCATGTTTCAGCCAATGCTTTCTCCTTATCTTTACATCTGTCAGCTCCTCTCCACCCCATTGTTACCAGCTAGTCTGGCCCCTGTAACCACTTCCATTACTCAGCAATAGCCTTCTCTTCTCACTGTCACCCCAGCTCCACTTTAATCTCCCCCCACGCATTCTCCACACTGCAACACCTTGGAAAGAAGGAAAGCTGTAGTCATTCCAGCTTTATCCTGAAAACATTTTAAATAATCTTCACATATTTTATACAGAAGAACTGACTCATGAAACTGAATCTTGATGGAGTTTACGAAATAGGCAAGGATAAAGAAAGAGAAGCACCAATGTGAGAGAAAAACACAGGTGCTATGAAATAGATCAGGTGATCTACACATTAGTAGGTGTAGCTGGCGTATGGGTATGAGGAATAGAGGGAGTGGTGGGAAAAGAGACTTTTACAAAGGGCTCATGTAAAGAAATACAGCTTTTGCTCTGCAAGAACAGAACTAGTTACTGAATCCTACTGAAAACCAAGCATTGCAATAAATATTTCCGATGTACTTTTTTTAGAGAGATTTCTACTATAGGGTGCATCCACTCACCAGAAAGACAAAGAGAGACAGAAAAACAGAAAGCAAGAAACCACCCCCCAAGAAGAATAGCCATGCCACAGTCCCTTCTCCTATATTCTCCTCTCAGGATCCTGGGTACAAATGCATACATGCCCAGCATGAGTTTTAAGCTGCAGGGTCCTGGACTTGAACCACAACTGACTACGTGGGATTCCAGTGATATAACCATTATGCCATCTGCTGGTCCCAAGATGTACTTTTCTTTTTTAAAGAGAGAATTTTGCTACAGGGTATGTGGGCTTGCCAGAGAGCCAAGAGAGAGGGAAAGCACACTCCCCAGAGGGGATGGCCATGAGGCATTCTTTTCTGGGGATTTTGAGACCCATGCACACGCACCTAGGGGTTGTTTCAAGTTGCCAAGCCCAGGACTGGAACCACTGTAACAATGAGTCCAGAGACATAACTATATGCCATCTACTGGTCCCCAGATGTACTTTTAATACACATTCAAGTGCAGCATTTTCCCTGTTTTACAGAAGACAACACTAAATGAAACACTAAGGAAAGAGCAGAGGGGATCCTTTGTTCTATCGCTACCTACCTTGGAGGCCTAACTGCATCTCACTAGATCATCTTCTACTCGAGTAGAGCCAGCTGCCCCAAAGTTCACGCTACACTTAGGTGACGTTTCACTACATTTGGAAGAACTACAAACGTCTACAGGTTACTGACATTTAGTGGGGAGGAGTCTTGCACCGCCCTCCATAACAAAGAATTCTCCATCCAGAAATGTCAATTCTGGTGAGTTTGAGAAAGCCTGGATTAGGGACCAGCAGTTAGCGTAATGGCTATGTCCCTGGACTCCCACGTAGTCGACCGCGGTTCGAGTCCTGGACCCGGTGGCTTAAACTCACACTGGGGGCGTGTGCGTGCATGCCCAAGATTCCGAGAGGAGAATGGAGGAGAAGGGATTGCAGCGTGGCCATCCCCCCTGGGGGTGATTTCTCGCTTTCCATCTCTCTGCCTGTGTCTGTCTGGCAAGCACACGAGCCCTATGGCAAAAACCTCTTCAAAAAAAAAAAAAAAAGCCTGGGTTAAACAAAGCAAAATAGCTTACAGTTGAAAAAGCAATGCAAAATTAAGTTATATCATTTTTTTAATTTAGATCTTAAAATTACTTGGAGAAAATGGGCAGCATTTTAACAGAATAACTACTGCAAATGATCCACTGAACAAAGCTTAAAGAATGCATCACCAAATGATTTTCAGCTTATGGCAAACTTTAAGGAACTACAAAACCCCACCACATCCGGAGAGTTTTAGGGGCACGGAGGACCTGCACGTTATGTAGTGAGAGGAAAAAGGGCCCTCACCTTCACTTCCTCTTTCAGCTCAGGCGCCAAGCTCAGCACCAGGAGGTAATGGGCGTAGGCGGTGCCGAAGTCCTGGGTGCCCAGACAGTGCTCTGCGCTCTGCAAGGAGCGCGCCACCAGCTCATCTCGGCCGGCTGCTTCTGCACCCCGGATAGGTCTGGTCCGCGAGTTCGGCATGACAGAGGTCCCACTTGTATCACCAGACGTAAGGTGCTTTCTAAACAAAAGAAGAAAATTGTGTCCATGCTTCACACAGAGCTCACTGAGCTCGAGAAACAAGAAGGCCAAACTATCCTGCGGCAGGTGCACCCGCCTCATCCCCGGCGCAAACTCCGCCTTAACTCCACCGCCCACCTTCACCTGGCAACTGCCCACAATGGCCGGTGGCGGACATTGGGTAAGCTTTAGCGCCCTTCTCAGCCCCGGCCCAAATCCTGCCCTCTTCTGCCCTGGCGAGCCGACGCTCACTCCACAACTGCCCACACTGGCATAGCAGTAGTAATATTTATTTCAGATGATAAACCATCTTTGAGTCAGGCCTAAATCAGAATTACCTGCTGACGGTAATACACGCTGATGAAATACCAAGACTGTACTCTCCAAAGCTCCAAACCATAAGCAAGAATGATTCCTAAAACCGAGGCACTACTAAACGCTCCCCTCGAAAGGGTCAAAAATTCTCCCACAGCCTCCCAGAGGAGGATCCCTTTCAATTCTACCACCCTCCGCCCTCACAGTCTCCCAGACGGTGGCTCCGTGCCCCTTCCCCAGCACTTCGCCTACTTTTTCACAGAAGACTCAGACTGCGCGCCATACTCGACACCCTCCCCCCGTTTCCTTTCATGGCTATGGAGAGGGAGGGATGTACAATAATTCTCATCTTTACAAAGCACTTGCACTGCCTGCCATCATCTCCGAGCTCTGCGAGTGCACCGTAACACACGCACACACTCATTCATTTGTTCACTAGTCGAGCATTCGCTCGGTCTGACCACTCTGGGTGGTCCAGGCTGGGTCTCACCCAAGCCACTGGGAGAGCGGGGCGCCCGCTCCCTGGAACAGGTGCAGCAGGCAGGCTGAGGACAGCTTCTCCATCAGTCCAGCTTCTCGAGGGTCTGTCTGGAGCCAAATCCTCACCTTTGGGTGGCGCGGGCCGGACCTTGAGCCTTCTCCTTGCTCCCAAACGAGAGGCTCCACCAGCCGGGAGGGGAACCACTGCAGAAGGCGCTCTCCCGGCAGCCCTCAAGTTAGGCGTAAGATCAGGAGGAAACTGAGGCTGGGCTCCGCTCGGCTCCTCCCCTCCCTCTCCTAGTTCTGACGCAGTCGTACGGACCGAGGCGCAGCGGCGCTGAATTCCCCGGCCGAAGGCGCAGTAGATCCCGCTCCCGAACCCCCGACTTCCTTTTCCCTTAAGCGTCATCAAAGCGCGCCAGGGTCGCCCTGGGCGAGGCAGGTGGGAAGGGAACAGGCCAACCGAGGAAGCCAGAGAGCGCGGGGAAGCGGGCGGGGCTAAGGGCGGTGGCTAGGCGACTTGCGTCATCGGCCGGCGCCGCGCTGCTCGCGCCCCTCTGGAGTGAGGGAGAGTTGGGCACACAGCGAGGGAGCGAGTTGGTTCCCAGGCGTCGCGGCCGCTGCGAGGGGATGAGTGCGAGGGAGCACCCGAGACCGCGCGACCGTGTCCTGGCCGCCGCCAAACAAAACCTCTTCCTAACCTGGGCCAGCAGAAGCCGCGGCCGCGCTCTACTTCCTGGCCCGCAGCGGATGCTGCACACGCCGGAGCCCGAGCCGGAGCCTGCGGCCGTGGGCAGAGAGGTGGCTGCGGCGGGCTGAGACTGGGTAGCTGCTTGGCGGTGAGAGGACCCTGAGGAGGGGCCGGAGCTTCTGTCTTGTCTCACAGCGTTGGGCGAGGAACCTCTCCACCTCAACGTGATGGTGGCGAGGAGATGGGGAGTCCCAGCCGCAGCGACACAGACGGGAGCGGGGAGGTGGCGAGCGGAGCCGGCAGGGGCTC